TCATTAGGGGAATGCAAATTAAAACCACTAAACATCCACCAAAATTGTAGAATTAAAAGGGCAGATGAGAAAGGATGTGGAGGAACTGGAACTCTTATTATTGTGCAAGTGTAAGGGAATGAACAAACTACAACTACATACAATGAAATGGATGAATCTCTTAAACAAAATTGAGAGGAAAAAAAGTCAGACACAAAAACATACACATACTATACAGTTCCATTTATACAAGTTTCAAAAAATAGGCAAAACTACTGTAAGATGTTAGTCTGGCCAGTAAGCGTCCTTAAGAAGGAGGAGTTAGTCACTGGGAGAGGACGCAAGGGAAGTCTTGAGAGTGCTCGTAATGTTCTATTTCTTGACCTGCATATAGTTATTTTGACAAATTTCATCCAGCCGTACTCTCAAGATCTATATGCTTTCTATTATGAATACCCTATAGCAATAGAAGTTTGCTTTTATGGAAGTTGTTACAAAGTTATAGTAATTAAAATAATGTGATGGTGCTGTTAGACTAAGAGACTAGAGTTCAAAAAGCATAGATAGATCCAATTGTAGAACTATAACAAATCAGTAAGAAATAAAACAGCAACGAAAAATCAGTACAAACACGGGCAAAAGACATGAATAGAATCTCAGAAGAGGGAAGAACATGTTAATAGTATAGTAAAAGATGCTCAAATTCATTAGCAAAAGGAAAAAATGAAAAACTAAAAGGTGATATTTTATACTCACTGGCGAAAACTTCTGAAGTCTGATAAAAGTAAGTATTAGCAAGAAAGCTAAGCAATGAAAACCACTGCTTGCGGGAGAAGGCAAACACTGATACAATCCTCTTTGGAAAACCACCTAGCATTATCCAGTATTGCTGAAGATGCACATATCCTTAAGTTCCAGTAATGCTACACCTAGAATTCCTTAAGTGAAACACACTGTATTAAACAGTCGCATTAAATGAGATTAATAAAGATTACAAACAGCATCATATCAATGCAGGTTAACTATGTTCACAAAGTAAGTTACTTTTTTCCTTTTTTGCATTTTCAGAACTTTCTGGATTTCAAAAGTATAAATAAGGAGGGAGGAAAGATGGCGGAGTAGAAGGACGCTTGTAAGTCACCCTCTCCCACAAATACACCAAGACCCACATCTACAGACCCACTCGGCCAACCAGAGCACCTGCGGAACTCCAACAGATCATCGCCCTCTTAAAAGATAAAGACGCCAAAAATCTGGTAGGAGAAAAGGAAAAAAGAAAGAACAAAAGGCAAAGCAGCGCGGGACGGGTCCCGCGGGGAGGGAGCGGCAAAGGAGGACTGGCGCTCGCTCGCTGGGTCTCCCCTCTCCAATTGAGAGGCCAGCGGGACGGAGGGGGAGCCTCCAAGGCTTGGATCTGTACAGAGCAGCCCTTGTCTGACAGAACTCAGTTAAACGGGCACAGAGCGTCCCCCCGACACCCAGCCTGAGACGCGGGCCGGCAGCGGCGGGCAGGGCCAGGCTGCACAAGCCGGGCGGAGGACGGGGGCGGCTGCACGGAGGCAGCTCTGGGGGACTGCAAGGGGCTGGGCGCCGTGGCTGTGGGTGTACAGGACAGAACAACCTGGACCCTCCATAAAACAGCAAGGTTGATGTGCTCTCGGGGGAAGGGTGCATACCCCCATCTCTGAAAACCCACGGAAACTTTTCAGGGGAAGAGGGGCGGGGCCCAGGCAGAGCCGCCATATTCTCCAGCGCTTAACACCCAGGCGGGGGCAGAGGCGAAACCTGCGTCCCCACCGAAGGGCTTAGCAGCCTCAAGGGCCAGACTGAGACGGGCCTACAGCCCTGGGCAGATAGGACCCTTCCATTCTGGTACCCCAGAGAACTTGCTCCACAAAGACAAACAAGCAGCTGGGTCTTGGCTCGGAGCAGGGTCGAGGCTGCCCCTTGGTCTTCCCCGAGCCCACCCACGAGCGCGACCAGGGCGGAGCGCCAACCAGGGCGGAGCGCCAACCGGGACGGAGCGCGACCAGGGCGGAGCACTGGCTCAGAGCTCACAGCCGCACAGAGCAGTGGAGAGCGGCCCCCCGCCTGTCGGGCAGGAACACAACCCCTGACCGAGGTGCTGGGAGGGGGCACGACCCACCCTCCTGCCTGGCCAGTCTGCAACATCTGACTGCCGCATCCGGAGGGGCAGTGACCCGTCCGCCCGCAGCAGAGGAGAGCTGCATCTGACCCCCTGTTACGA